TTCTTGTTATGTTCAGCCGGCGTGGCGCAGTTGAGTGTCAACCTATGAACCAAGAAGTCATGGTTCGATTCCCGGTCAGGGCACCTGCCCAGGTTTCGGGCTCAATCCCCAGTCGGGGGCGTGCGGGAGGCAGCTGATCGATGATTCTCTTTCATCATTGATGTTTCTATTTCTCCCTCTCCCTTCCTCTCTGAAATCAATAAAAATATATCTATTTTTTTTAAAAAAGGTTTCTTCTTAGAAAAACACAGATATTTGGTACTGTTCAGGAGCAAGCAATCTCATTTCAAAGCACCAGGCAGTAATGGAAATATTCTGTTTGTGATGACCCTGGGTCGTCAAAAGGGTTAGCTGTGTCAGGAACACTGTACTTAATTGTAAAAGGGAGATACAGAAAGCGCATTCAGCGGGGCTCATTACCCTATTGTTCAGGAAGGAGGTTGGAGTAGAGACCTTGCAGCGCACTAAACAATAGAAATCTTTAGCTTGATAAAGGGTATTCACCACCTACTCATAACAGACATCATACGAACGTAAAACATCCAAGTGAACAACCACATAGAATAAAATAAGGTTGTTCGCTGTCATTGTGCTCTGGAAGATGGTCCTGGAGATTCTGGTTAAGGCAATCACACAAGAAAAGAAACGAGGTATAAATATTGGAAAGCGTCCAAAGCACCATTCATTATCCCAGGTATCGTAGCCAGATAATGCTAGGGAATCAGCTGAGATTAGTAGGGTGGTCAGATACCTGTAGAACGAAAAGGCTTATAGCAACAGCAATTCTCACCCCCAGGCCTCCTTACGCCAGCGGTCTCCCTCCCCAGAGGCAGCCGCCTGAGACACCTCTGGCTGTACTCCCATTCGTAGTAATGAATAACATGTGTGCTGCCGCCATCCGATTCAATTTCACGTGTTGACTAGTAACTTCCTGTGACTGGCTGTCTTCGCTTGGGCTGCCATGGCAAGATATTGTGGATTGGGTGGCTTAAATAGTAGGCATTTATTCCTCACAGTTCTGGAGGCTGGAGTCCAAGATCAAGGTGCCTTCAGGGTTGGTTTCTGGCGAGGCCTTTTCCTTGGGCTGCAGGTAGCTGCCTTCTTGCTGTGTGCTCACATGACTTTTCCTTGGTGCATGCTGTGTGTTTGTGGGAACAGAGGGAGGGAGGGAGGGAGGGAGGCTCCAGTCTCTCTTCCTGAAACTTATTAATCAGATATTAGACCTCCTGAGCCTGTACTTTTAACTTCTTACTTTAGTTCTCCTGGTTTTTTGTGGGTTTTTTTCACCCTTTTGCTGTCTTTTCTAGAAGGTTTTCTCAATCTTATCATGTAACACTTCTATTGAGTTTTTAATATCTGCCATCCTGTTTCATTTCAAAAGCGGATTTTGTTTTTGGAAGGACTAGTTGTGTCCTCCTGGAACCTCCTTTTGGTGTTCCACTATCGTAATGTCTTTTCTCCCTGCGGACACTGATTTTTTAGATTTTTTTTTTTTTGCCTTCCTCTTCAAAGTTACTTTCTTCTGGTTTGTGTCTTGGTCTCAGCTTTCCGCCCTGTTGTACAGGCTTTGCCCTCATCACAGATCTGGTGACCTTGGTTGTCTGACTTTGTTTTAAGAGGACAAAGCTGTTCTTCCCGTTGAGGAGATGGCATGCAAATCCACTTTCTAAATCTTTCTAGAGACCTGGGGGCCATTCCACTTTATCCTAATCTAATCTGTTAAAGTCCTGTCTGCTTCTGAAACTTGTCTTGAAATCACTCCCTTCCCAATATTCACTGCCATGGAGTTGGTCATGGAGTTGGTCTTGGATACAGTCGTCCTTGGATACCTGCAGAGGATTGGTCCCAGGACCCCTGACGATACCAGAATCCAAGGATGCTCAAGTCCCTTATAGAAAGCCGTGCAGTATTTGCATACAACCAACGCACATCCTCCCGTACACTTTAAATCATCTCTAGATGACTTCTAATGTCTAATGCAATATAAATGGTATGTAACTAATTATTATACTGTATTGTTTAGGGAACAATGACAAGGAAAAAAGTCTGTAAGTGTTCAGTATAGATGCAACCATCATAGGTCTAACTACATAGCAGATGTCAGCAGCCACGTAACCTTTGGTTGAATCCATGGTGGTGGAACCGCGGACACAGATGGCCGACTGTGTATCATCTTCTGCCCCTCGGATTATCGTGACCGTCTCTGAACTTGTCCCCTCACACCTACCCTTTCTCCTCCATGTGTCCATTTCATAAGAGTGGCCTTATGAAAACATAGCCTGATCTTACCATCATTGTCTTGCTCAAAATCTTCCCTCCGCCTTAGATAAAATACAGAATCCTTAGGTGTCCTGGGCCCACGTGGTCTGACCCTCCCCAACCTTCCTAGCATTTTGCACTGATGTCCTCCCTGACTGCACTTTCTTACATGTTCTAGAAGGCAGAAGCCCTTCCTTCCCCCTCCAGACCTTTGCCTCTGCTGTGCCGTCTGCCTAGGACAGTGGTTCTCAACCTTCTGGCCCTTTAAATACAGTTCCTCATGTTGTGACCCAACCATAAAATTATTTTCGTTGCTACTTCATAACTGTAATGTTGCTACTGTTATGAGTTGTAATGTAAATATCTGATATGCAGGATGGCCTAAGGCAGTGATGGCGAACCTATGACACTCATTTTTTGGGTTGATTTTTCTTTGTTAAATGGCATTTAAATATATAAAATAAATATCAAAAATATAAGTCTTTGTTTTACTATGGTTGCAAATATCAAAAAATTTCTATATGTGACACGGTACCAGAGTTAAGTTAGGGTTTTCAAAATGCTGACACGCCGAGCTCAAAAGGTTCACCATCACTGGTCTAAGGCGACCCCTGTGAAAGGGTCGTTCGACCGCCAAAGGGGTCTCGACCCACAGGTTGAGAACCGCTGGCCTAGGATGTTGCCTTCCCTCCTGCTTCAGGTTACTCTGCAGCATGGCCTTCCCTGAGACTTCCCAGGCCTGCTACAAGGTCCTGCCTCCCTGTTACAGTCCCTTATCACCCTCTGTTTGCCTTGATAGCATTTCTTTCATATCTGTATTTACCCAAATACTTCTCCCCACCGGCTGTACCTAGTGTTTGTGCCCCGTTCTGTCCCTGGGGCCTGAGAGTGGGAAGCCAGGCACATGTTAGGGGCTCTCAGTTGCTAAACAAATGAGTGAAAGCTCCGCCCCTCGCGTTGTGATGAAAAGTACTCCAGTATTCTGTTCCCTATAAAACAGAAATGCAGTCATTTGTCCTGAGTCGCTCAGCAAGCTGGTACTCACAACCAGAGCCCATCCTGGGCCCCTGAGGCTGTCTCCTGGGGGTATGGTTTAGATACTAACTTTTCCCTTTCTTTTTCTTATTATTTTGCTGTTTTTGTTTTGTCTTTTATTTTGGTGGTTGCTAACTTTTTCGTGGCTTAGGAATAAAGTCCTCCTGGACCTTGGGAGGCGCTGGGATGTGAGAGGCGTCCCTCGCTTTGGCCTTCCTGAGTTCAGAACTAGGCATGCCTGGGATTTAGGTCAGGTTCTTTGCCTCAATGAGGTCCCCCTGTAGGCAGCGGTGACATGAATTTACTTTGGGCTTAGATCTTGCTCCTCAGCAGTGGTGAAGCGTTGACGACTGTCGCTGGATAGACCTGCGCTTTGTGATAAAACGCTGAGTGCCGTGCCCTGGCCTCACTTAGCCTCTCTTCCGAAGGCTCTCAGGCCGCCTGTGAGGAGGGCGGCTGTAGCAGGTGCTGAATCCTCATGGTTCATCCCCTGAGAGACGATTGGTCCAGGAACCTGCAGTCTTGTTCCCTGGACAGGTATCAGCCTGTGAGCAAATATTAGCCACAAATGAGTGTTGTTTTGCCCCTCATGATGTTTTTGTTAAAATATATATTTATTGATTTCACAGAGGAAGGGAAAGGGAGAGAGATAGAAACATCAATGATGAGAGAGAATCATTGGCTGCCTCCTGCACACCCCCTACAAGGGATCAAGCCCGCAATCCAGGCATATGCCCTTGACCAAAATCGAACCCGTGACTCTCCAGTCCCCAAGCCAATGCTCTATTCACTGAGCCAAACGGGCTAGGGCCCCTCATGATGCTTTAAAACTCTTGTTAGCCGAAACCGGTTTGGCTCAGTGGATAGAGCGTCGGCCTGCGGACTGAAAGGTCCCAGGTTCGATTCCAGTCAAGGGCATGTACCTGGGTTGCAGGCACATCTCCAGTGGGAGATGTGCAGGAGGCAGCTGGTCGATGTTTCTCTCTCATCGATGTTTCTAACTCTCTATCTCTCTCCCTTCCTCTCTGTAAAAAAAAAATCAATAAAATATATTAAAAAAAATAAAAATAAAAAAAAAAAAAAACTCTTGTTAGTGCCAACATTTAAAAATCAAGATGATCCCCCTTACCAGCGTGGCTTAATGGTTGAGTGTCGACCTATGAGCCACAAGGTCACAATTCGATTCTCTGTCAGGGCACATGCCCAGGTTGCGGAATCGATCCCCAGTGTGGGGCATGCAGGAGGCAGCCAGTCAGTGATTCTCTCTCTTCATTGATGTTTCTATCTCTCTTTCCCTTCCTCTCTGAAATCAATCAAAATATATTTTTAAAAATAAATAAATAAAAATCAAGGTGATCATATAGAAACTTGAGTTTCTGTTTTTTTCCTGGGGGCAGGGTGGAGGTTAGGGGTGGGGAGCAAAACCATCTCACAACAATTGGCTGAGAAGAAATTGCCCCTTAAAACAAGACATAGTTTTTCTTGGTTTCATGGTCTCTGCCCAGCCTACTATGTTCATTTGTTTTACCTTCCTGGTCTTTGTAGGCATGTAAGTTTGTAATCTCTATTATACTTGTAAAAGTCACATATATGTGTGTATGGGGGTGAAAGGTGTCACTGACACTCTGTAATGATTTTTTTTCTGTCTTCTTTTTCTTTACTTTCTCCTTCCTTCTCCCTCTCCCGCTGCCTCCATCATTTCACAGATTCTGGGACTACTGGTATGGACTCTTATCGCCGGAACGGAGTACTTCCGGGTCCCTGCATTTGGCTGGGTCATGTTTGTAGCTGTATTTTACTGGGTCCTCACCGTCTTCTTCCTCATCGTCTACATCACGATGACCTACACCAGGATCCCCCAGGTGCCCTGGACAACCGTGGTAAGGAAGCCAGGCGTGCTTCGGGTCCATTGCCCACTAGGTAGGATGGAACGTAGTCCTCCTCTGGTCGAATTTGCATTTTTAAGAACTTTCAGTGGCTTGAGGAGCTGACTCAAATGCCCCTCCCTGCCTAGAGCAAGGGGCCTGCTTTGGGACAGTGCTCTCCCGGGGCAGGTGCTGCAGGGTGGGGCTCCTGCTGGGGCCACGGGCTGAGGCCCTTCTCGCTGGTGGCATCTTCCTAGCCAATACGTCGCCATGGCTGAACTGGATGGAAGGGGGGTCTAGAGCAAGTTGAAGGAGCCTGGGTGTGTTGGGGGAGAAAAGGGGGGTGTCTGGGTGTGCTGTGAATGAGATGGTATAAAACCCTCCCCTCCCCCAAAACACGGGGGAGCCGCCTTCTCCGAGCCCTCGTCCCCAAGTGTCCAGAGGAGCACCTGACCGCAGCCAGGGTGCAGTTCTGCCCAGTTCTGAGGTTCGGAGGTGCCCAGCCCTCCCCACGCTCCCTAAACACTCCAGCGTCTGTCTCCCCAGGGTCTGTGCTTTAATGGCAGTGCCTTCATCCTGTACCTCTCGGCCGCTATTGTGGATGCATCGTCCGTCGCCCCGGAGAGGGACAGCCACAACTTCAACAGCTGGGCGGCCTCCTCGGTGAGTGAGCCCCTCATCCCTCTGGGAATCAGGAGGACAGAGTTGTGGGCCGGAAAAAGCCCCGCCTGCAGTAGGACACACTGGCAATTAGCTGATGGGTTTGCAAGCGTCATAAATTGGTGAGGCTGTGCTTGTGTGAAAGCCAAATGGCTGGAACCAAGTAAGTAGTTGAGGGAGAAAAAAAGTACTTGAGGCATTCTAAGAATCATTACACTGACTGCAGTTTACTAGTAAGTGGGGAGAGAGCTGCAGGAAATGAGCACGCTGTGATGCTCTGTGTTTGGTTTTAAGTAGAAATGTCTGTGGGTGCCTTGAGGACGCTTTGAAAAATGAATATACACCAACAAAGAGGTTCCTTTCAGGGACTGTGATTGGGTGATGAGTGTGGCATGAGGGGCTTCTGCTTTTTAATTAGTGCGCTTCTGTACAGTGTGCAGCTTTAAACCATTAAGTGTGTAATGTTTTTCTAATTTAAAAACTTCATTTTGAAAGTTTGTCTAATATTGATCTTAAAATATCCCATCCGCAAAAGAAGTGTTGGTGGGGGGAGCAGGGGCAGGCCAGAGTGGTCATGTGAAAGCTGATGGATGATACACGGGTGTTCATTATATTCTTTGCTTATATTTCAAAATTGCCGTGTAAAGGTAGAAAGCGCGGGGGCACACGAGATTAAACACCAAGCTGTGGCGGCCCTGGGCTCACAGCATGAGTCCGCTGAACTGGGTGGAGGCTGCTCCGGGAGAGGGGCCTGCGTTTTCCGACTCACCATTCACACCACACACCTCACGGGGGGCTCATCACTCCCTCCTGCTGCCTGACTCGTTTACGGTAGCTGAACCTGTGGCAAACTGGGGGTAAGCCCTGGTCTAAAATTGCCTATGCGGTAGTCCCCATTGTACGTGGTTTTGCTTTCTGCCGTGTGTTATACCCTCAGTCAACCACGGTCCAAAAAAAAACCTTAAATAGAAAATCCCAGAAATAAACAATTCATTTAAATTGCACACCATTCTGAGTATCATGCTGAAATATTACACCGTCCCACTCTCTCCTGCCCAGGATGTGAATCATCCCTTTGTCCCCTCATATGAGCTCCCTGCCCCTTAGCAGCCTTCTTGGTTATCAGGTTATGAGAGAGAGAGAGAGAGAGAGAGAGAGAGAGAGAGATCACATTTGCGTAACTTTTATTACAGAATGCTGTTGTAATTGTTCCTTTTTATGATCAGTTATTATTAACCTCTTACTGGGCCTAATTTATAAATTAAACTTTATTCTGGGTATATATGTGTAGGGAAAAACATAGTCTATATAGGGTTTGATGCCATCCACGATTTCCGGCATCCCCTGGGGGTCTTGGAATGTACCCCCTGCAGATAAGGGGGAACTACTGTACTAAATTGGAAATACGGGTGCTTTTCTCAGATGCACACCACCATATTCGCCCCTATGTGAATCATACTATAACTAAACATCTGCTTTTTCATTAGTGCGCTTCTGTACAGCGTGCAGTTTTAAACCATTGAGTGTGTATTGTTTTTCTAATTTAAAAGCTTCATGTTGAAAGTTTGTCTAATATTGACCATAAAATATCCCATCCGCAAAAGAAGTGTTGGTGGGGGGAGCAGGGGAAGGCCAGAGTGATCATGTTAAAGCTGGTTGGAGCAAAACTATAAACTTTCCAGATATGCTCCAAAAAAATAAAAGATATCCAGAAATCACTTCAGAAGGAAGGTCATTGAACCAAGAAAGCCTGGAGTCAAGGAATGCTGTGGGTACATGATTCAATGGAGGTGACATGGTAGCGTTTGCTGACGACAATGTGCCCTAAACCCCGTTTCTATTATGCTTTGTTTTCTACAGTTCTTCGCCTTCCTGGTCACCATCTGCTACGCTGGAAACACATATTTCAGTTTTATAGCTTGGAGATCCAGGACCGTCCAGTGATTAGCCATTTTGAGAATTATGGGGGGATTGGAGGGGGGTAAGGAAGCCTCTCACTGTAAAAACAGCTGTAGGTCTACTGTATATTTCCAGAGAACTGTATTTAACTAATGTTTTTTATATACTTAGTTAAATTTTGCTCACAGTGGTTTGTTACAATGAAACTGGACACCTATTTGCAAAAGAGCGATAGGTTGTGATGACCTCTTCAGGATCTTGTCAGATGTCTTCGTAGACATTATTATTATTATTATTTTCTTAGGTGATGTATACATGGATAACATGCTAATATGAAGAATGTGTCAAGTTTGTAAACCTTTAACTTTTAAAATGCCAGATTTTTTTTCGATTAAATGTTTCAAAACCTTGGATAATGTTGTATTGATCTGAGGAAGGAGACCATCCTCCCAGGGCTGTCCAGGTACGATATTGCTACGAGACACTTGTCCATGGCCACTAGGCGGGGGTGGCAGCCGAGAGCCATCCCCCCAATTCTGGGGATCATCGGTGTCCATGATTCTCACGTGCTCATCACACGCCCAGGGAGCATCTCATGAGACACTGGACTTGGCGCTTGGTCAGGAGCTCGCCCTAAGGCGTGCTGCTGAGTCCACTGAGCGATGTATGAGTGGTACTCTTTCTCCTGATACCTATTAAAATCAGTGCATAACCATTAAAAGGATAAATACTCGCATGTATCTTCAGCTCCTCTTGCTGACCACAGTGACATATAGACCATATTTTGTGGGAAATATCCAGACTGGAAATTCTCGTCTCCAATCTCCAGCACTCCTGCTTTTTTTAAATATACATATATTTTTTTTATTGATTTCAGAGAGGAAGGGAGAGGGAGAGAGAGAGAGAAACATCAATGATGAGAGAGAATCATCGACCGGCTGCCTCCTGCACACCCCACAATGGGGTCAAGCCTGCAACTCGGGCGTGTGCCCTTGACCGGAATCGAACCTGGGACCCTTCAGTCCGCAGGCTGACACTCTGTCCACTGAGCCAAACTGGCTATTTGTCACGTGGATATTCGGTATTATCCGCCGGCAAGGCAGATGTGCACTTAGAGGAAGTGCTTTTCGGCGGGACGGTTCCTGCTGCTGCAGTGTATCTCGGGTGATTTTTCAACATGAGCTTCTTGTGAAAAACAAAAAACCACAGAAACGTTAGTCGAGTTGATGACAGTGAAGAGAGTTTCAGCCCTGTTCTCCCTCTGTGCAGGAGACCCTGTGACCTCTGCTCTTCTGCTCTCGGTTAGCAGAGCTGTTGCTTTCTGTTTGTGTTATTTTTATATGGTTTCTTTTCAATTGATTTCAGAGAGGAAGGGAGAGGGAGATGGAAACATCAATGATGAGAGAGAATCATTCATCGACTGCCTCCTGCACACCCCACAAGGAGGATCAAGCCCACAACCCAGGCATGTGCCCTGACCGGGAATCGAACCGGTGACCTCTTGGTTCCTGGGTCAATACTCAACCACTGAGCTATACCAGCTGGGCTGCTGTCTGTTGTTTGTTGTTTGTGTTGGTTTTCCTACTTACCTGATTCTAATTCCGTATCCAGGTTCCATTTACCCCCATAGAGGAGAGGTGGGATTTCTTCAGTGTCTAATAACACCCACCCCGGGCTTTTGGAGGAAACAGTGAAAAGTGTTCTTGAGTTGTGGGTCCAAAGAGGTAGTGGGCAGGGGGCACCACACATGAGAGGTGGGGGTGGGAGGTGGTGGGGGCACAGGAGGCCACTTGGAGTGCAACATCAAGCAAGCCCTGAGGGTTGAGCTTTAGCGACGCAGACCCACAGGTGACCGGGGCTGCAATCTTTTTGGATCTGTATCCCCAGTCATCACCGGGACAGCCTCTGGTTCGTTCATTCATTCTGCAAGAAAAGCAGAAATAACTCATCAGAGTGTGTGTGCTCTACTCTGTTCATCGCTCACACTCACCGAGGCATATTCATCTTCCCTGTGCTTTTTAAGTACTAATTTTTTAAAAAAAATTTATTGGGGTGACATTAGTCAACTTGAACATATAGGGTTCATGTGTGGATTACTAATTTACAAACTCTGTATATAGGACCATTGCAATCAAGTCTCCATAAAAGGCAGAAAAACTGTAACCTACAAAGATCTGTTTCTGGAAAACAGTCATAAAGAAAGAAGCCTGCTTTTATGTCTGTCTGTCTGTCTGTCTCTCTCTCTCTCTCTCTCTCTCTCTCTCCCCTCCCCCCCTTATTCTCCCCACATGTGTGTGATTTCTATGATCATGCCTGCAACTTCTGGGGTAAAAAGTTCCATAAACCACTTTGAAATATCTTCCAAATGGACTACAACAGTAGGTCTTTCTTGAACCGGTAGCACCAGACACACCTGTTTCAGGAGGACAATGACTCGCCTGTGTCCAGGCAGGGTCACTTGCTGTCTTGTCCTTATTTGTGGTTTTTAAGGAGCATGGCCCTTTGTGTTGTCCTGAAAGTTCACCAAAACACAAAACAAAACAAAACAAAAACAGCATTTATTTTTAACTGAAAGGAAATTATTATTTCCTCTTTTGAATACTCACTTTGTTCAAAGAATAATTTTTAAGGGTGGGTTTTGCATAACAAACTGAGTCTCTATAGTTCAGACCAAGCTATCAGTTTCTAACTGGGTTTGCATTGATTTTTCTCTTAAGAAAGAAGAAAAAAACAAAAACCAAGCCACATGCAGTACAGCCAACATAACGACAGGAATAGGTTTCTGGGGTTTTTAAAAAAAAAATGTGGTAACAGGGGTAGTAAGTATACTGGGCACTAAACTCTGCCCCGCCATCTGTGATTGCTGTCTGCGTGCACCAATCAGCCCTTCCAAACCAGCGCTTTTTCTCTGATGGAGTTGAATGGGTTTTTAATTTGATGTACTTACCTACTCATGGCCGATCAATGAAATGCTTTAGGCAGTTCATCCCTCTCCATTGTTATTTCCAACTCATAGCCCCCAAAGATAAATATTTAGCCAATATTTGAAAACTACAAGAGAAGCCAGAGACAAAAATGTCCAACATCAGTTATTTTTGTCTATTTTTTAATTGCTTCCTTCCTAGGGAAATCCCTTCAGGGTATCAACACACTAAAGATTTTTAAATACAGACCTGGCCGGTTTGGCTCAGTGGATAGAGCGTCGGCCTGCGAACTGAAGGGTCCCAGGTTTGATTCCGGTCAAGGGCACGTGCCCGGGTTGTGGGCTCAATCCCCAGTGGGGGACTTGCAGGAGGCAGGCGATCCATGATTCTCTCTCATCATGGATGTTTCTATCCTTCCTCTCTGAAATCAATAAAAATATATATTTTAAAAAAATAAATAAATACACAAAGTGTCTGCGAAGAACACAGACAATTAAAAACACCAACTGAAGATGCAGCCCTGGGTAGGGAAAAATCCATTCAGAGTTTATAGTTCTGTCCCCTAGACAATTATTATTTTAGTTGAAAGATGATTTTTCACAGAAAAAAAACTAATAACCCAGGCATGTAATTGGGGGAAAGTGCTTGGCAACACAGAGGTGATGACTTTTCAGACACTTAGGCAATAGTGAGTGGCAAGAAGGTTGTTTACCGGGGAGACATTTCATTTAGAAGGTATGTTTTGAGTAAACATCCATGTCACAGGCAGATTTTTAAAATAGAATACTCAGAATAACAACACCCAGAACGGAGCAGACTTTCTCACTGTCTCCCCCACATCTCTTCTCCCTCCTCTTGTTATCTAACTACCCTCTTTTTATTCGGGATCCACACCACCCACTTAAGCCCCAGCTACTTAGGGGAGCTAACTCCACTGTGACTCCAGGAATGGAGCATGCGGCTCTGCCTAAGTAATCCCACGCCCTGGCCATACGGATTGGTTCAGGGATGGGATGTGACCCAAGACTTGCTCTGGAGTTCTGGAAAAAGAAGTTCTGTAGGACCTACTGGTATATAGGCAGGAAGTTGTTGGCAAAAACTATATTGTGACCACAAGAGGGAGCCAGTCATAGGATGAAGGTGAAGAGATGAAACTTCATCATGATTACGTATGTCACTGAGCCACTGAATTAATTCAGCCCTGAATGCAGGCACACTCTGGACTTTGCAATTACATGAGCAATTAATTATATGCTAAAACGAATTTCTGTTACTTGCAACAGTATGTATCCTAACCAATACCCAGGGCATTCTGGCAAATGGCTTTCAAGCAAAGGCCTAAGATCTTGGTTCTGGTTTTCTTTCCAATAGTAAGCCACCATAGGGCCTTAGGCAGATGGCAGTAATGGCAGGACAAACCAACTGTAGCAACAGGCTCATTGTCAGTAGAGGGGTAGGAAAGGGAAAGTCTGAGAGGCCACCTGAGAGGGTGACTCAAGCCCTCCTGAGGCTGTTGTTTAAGGGTGGTGATAGCCTGGGAAGACCCTAGAAAGAGTCGCAGCCTGAAGGATGAGTTCTCAAAGGAGTTTTTCTTGACCTGAGTGTGAAGAAGGAACGGGAAGCAATCTGGCCTCCAACGATTCGAACTTAACGAGAACTCCGCCTTGTGTCTCAAAGACCAGTTGTCACTCTTGAAAAGTGGCTTCCCTCTCTGGAAGTGAGTTGGCCAAAGAACATTGGCCCTATCAGAGTGAGGATCAAACCTAAACTACAAACAGAATAAAAGGGCTTAGAAATAAATCAAAGGCGGTGCTTTTTTCCCCCCAAATTAAAACTATAATGAGATGCTATGTCACACCCTCTAGAATGGCTAACATGGAAAAGACTGCAATACCCAAGAGTTGGCCAGGTTGTGGGCATCTGGCTTTCCCCTACATTGCTGGTGGGACTGTGCTTGCTGTCTGACCTAGAGGTCTGATCTGTGGAGCCTTTGTACATGGCCCTTGTACTGCCAAGCATCTTGCTCAAGCTTTTAAGTGATCATGATGAAGTGATTAACACCAAGTGGCCATCGCCAGTGATTATTTCCTATCTAGGCTGGTGGCACCTTGGCCAACAGCAGTCAGAGAAACCCAGCAAAGTCAACTCCGGGGGGCTCAAGAAATGACAGTGGTTCTCAGACTCCAGCATGCGTCTGAATCACGGGGGAGGTGGGGGGACAGCTTATCAAAACACTCTGCGGAGCCTAACGCCCAGAGTTTCTGATTCAGCGGGTCTGGGTGGGACCCAAGGATTTGCATTAACCGCAAGTTCCCAGGTGCTTCTGGTCGGGGGAGCATACATTGAAAATCAGTGATTTAGAAGATTTACTGGAGAATCGGATGAAGACCACTGGGCGGAGGAGAAATGATCCAGGGCTTGGTTTTTCCGCTTCCCTGAAGCCTTCACTGCAACAAAGGCTCCCTGTCATCTCCGTTGTGGGGTGGGGTTTTGACCCTGGGACAAGTACGAGATGAAAATGTAAATCTACATGAAAAGTGATCCACAATGCCAACGTCATGCCTGGGGGCACAGGGCTGGGAATGTTACAGAATGCCTGCATGTCTATTCCATGGTCCCAGCAGCCCCTAGGTGCAATTACCATTGTTCTATAGAGAAAGAAATGATTGTACCAGGCACTGTGACTGCTGTCTAAAGAGAAGACAGATATCTAAGACCATTTTTTTTGTCATGAAAATTAACAATGTCTCAAACTTTGTCAATGACTGGTTTTCAAACTGAAGCATTCACCAGAATCCTTTGGGAGACTTGTCAAAACAGAGGTTGCATGAGTAGCTCCACATTCTAGAACTATCAAGATGGCCACACTGACGACAGTCTTCTGATGACAGTATAGCTCTGGCATCCAATGATCTCATAAGGGAGATTTTTTTAAAAATGTTATCTCCAAATAAAGTTACAAGTTTGGCCACAGGGACACTCTGCTCAAAAAGAACACTGATAACATATCTTGTGTGGTTATTAAGAAATAACCCAGAAGGAGTGCAACGTAATATGCTCCTTGGATAACTGACAGCTTCCAATGGAGGTAAAAATATGCTCAACTTGTGACCTAGGCAAATTTACTCATCGGTATTTACCCCCAAAGAAAGGAGAGTGTATGTCCACCAAAAAATCTTACCAGAGGTTCATCACAACTTTATTGGGTACAACAGGATGAATCTCAAATGCACTGTGTTGAGTGAAAGAAGCCAGGCACAAATGAGATTATTATGTATTACTTCAAGTATATTGCCCGACTGGCATGACTCAGTGGTTGAGCAGAAGGTCATGGTTCTATACCTGGTCAGGGCACATGCCTGGGGTTGCAGGTTTGATACCCAGTGTGGGGCATGCAGGAGGCAGCTAATCAGTGTTTCTCATCATGGATGTTTCTATTTCTCCCTCTCCCTTCATTTTTGAAATCAATTATATGTAATTGATTCATGCACATTAAAAGGGAATTCAAGCCAAACCAATGGACATGGACAACAGGGGGATGAGAACATGGGGGGGGGGGTGAATGGGGGGATGAGGACACATTTGTAATACCTTAACCAATAAAGAGATTTAAAAAAAGGGAATTAATTAGAGGAAATATTTTAATATTGCTATTTGCCCTTTCTCTATAATAGAAGTGTCAGAAATGAAAGAAAATTAGTAAAATGTATATGAAAATCTTCCTCCTGTCAGAGTCTGAGGCATGCCGTGGGACCCAGAGTCAAGTCCCCGCCCACCCACGTGCACCTCGAAATCGTGTGAGACCCAGACCTGGCCAGCCTCATCCCCATCAAGCCCCGCTGGGTCGGGGGGCACAGCCTCAGGTCCCCCATCCAGGGCAGGGGGCACAGCCTGAGGTTCCCAGCCCCGGCCTGCCACCTTGCAGCCTCAGGTCCCTGCTAATCACTCCTTACAGCTCGTTACAGGAACCCCGCCTCCACTGTGGGTGCAGCCATCTTGTGGTGGTGTGATGGAGTGAGGGTCAATTTGCATATTACCTCTTTATTATATAGGATTGTGGACCCTGAGAAAGGGTTCTTGGGAGTTAACTGGACTCAAATTTAAAAAACAAAAACACAGACCTTACCAACTACACAGGGGCCTCTCATGCGGACTACCTCAGGGAGAAGCCTACTATTAGCTGCCTGCCTCTGCACTGAATTGCCTTCCTACACCTGCACTGTGTTCTTGCCACCTGCACTGTGTGCTCACCACCTGTGCCAGCCCTTATAAAGGAGTTCCTGGCACCCCGGCCGGTGTGGCTCAGTTGGTTGAGCATCATCCAGTGCACCAGGAGGTTGCTGGTTTGATTCCTGATCAGAGCATATGCCCAGGTCACTTGGCATGCAGGAGGCAGCTTCTCTATGTGTTCCTCTCCCTTCCTCTCTCTAAAAATCAATAAAGATATTTTTTTTAAAGAAAAAAAAGAGTTCCTGGATTTGTTTTTCAACCAGTACGTCTGAGGTTTTCCCCATCAGCATCTTCACCAACCAATCAGGCTCCATTCTGACCAGTCAGGACAGTGAGTACCTTTTGGACCGAACTGTGTGGCTGTGAAGTCCTTATTTGCATGAGCATGGACCTGTTGGGGACCCGGGTCCGGGACTTCTGTCCATATAAGTCATCTCCCTTCTAGCTCTGAAAGGGCACTTTTCCTTTCCACTAAAGATGATGTTTACTTGGCTGGAGCTGAAACTGAAGATGAAACACCTGGGGGTCGGGGGTATGGACCAGAGCACCCCTTAGGGCATCCAAACAGCCATGTGTTGACAACCTTGCTGTTCACAGCTTTGCTGCTTCATACTTGAGCTGTAACACCACTGAGCTGTTCCACAGCCATTCTGTTCTCACAACCCAGCATCCATTAAAGTTTCCTTTTTCACTACACCCCAAATTGGGGATTGCTGTTGGCATTGAATTGGAAAAACTATAGTGCAAAAAAGCAGACTATCTTGGTTACCTGAGGCTTAGCAGAAAAGGGGGAGCAGTGAAGGAAGGCAGACTGAGAAGGAGCACCAGGGTACTTTTTGGGGTATTGGCATGTTCTATTTGTTGATCTGGGTGGTAGTTACACCGGGGTAGACACACAGAAAAGGTAACGGAGCTGCACACGAAAGGTTTGGCAAGTTACACTTAAATAAAGTAGGTGCTCTCAGCACACACCTGCACCCACACACCGTCACAGGAAGCTCAGACCCAGCTGTGGCCGGGCCTTGCCCACTTAGGAAAAGACTCCAAGGCCTTTCGGGAAAGCGCCGGCCAGCCCCTCCCCGGCTTAGTCGGCCACAGCTGGACGAGCGCTTCCCGTGCGGGCGGGGAACGCGTGCGCCCCGCCCTCCCACCGCCCGGGACCGCACACCCGGGACAGGCCCCGCCCCCGTCCCGCCTTATCTGGCCCCTCGGCCGCGGCCCGGGGAGGCGGCCGGCGGGCAGGGGCCGCGCGATGTCGCACGGAGCCGGGCTTGGTCCGCACCACGTGCAGCAGCGGCAGCGCGCTGGGACCCAGGGCCGGCGCCGGGGCCGCAGGGCACGAGCGCCTCGGAGGGGCTGGTGGACCCCGGTCTACCCCCGCACCCACGGGGCCCTGCTGAAAGTGGCGCAGATGGTAAGAGGCGGGGCCGCGGGGCCGCGGGGCCGGGGTCACCGGAGTGGCCCCGGGAGGGATCCGGGTCCCGGGAGGGGGCGCGTTGGGTGACGAGCCTGGAGCCGGGCGGGACACCCCGGAGCATCGCGCCGCGGGCCGGGGCGCCAGGGTCAGGTGGGAGGGAGCCTTCCTCCCGGAAAGTTGGCCGTGCAGCCCCCGCCCTGGAACTCAGCGCCACCCCAGGCCCCTGCTTCCTTGGACCTATCTCCAGGTCCCAAGTTCTTCCAGCCGCCCCAGTGCGCGGCCTCCCCGCCTCCTGGTGGAAACTGCGGGCAGGAGTTCCTGGGCGTCTTCCTCTCCTCCGGCCGCCGCTTCGAACCCGAGCCGCGGGGGCGGAAGAGTCGCCCAGGCCGCGGCGCTGAGGCTGCGAAACCCGACCTCCACCGCCGCGGCCTCCGCCTTCCTTCCACCCGGCGCGCAGGGCTCCCTCCCCACGCTGTGCGCACTCCGCCCCTGGCAGGGTGGGGAAAGGATGGGGACCCTGGTCCCCTGCCCACGCACGTTCAGAGGGAGGGCCCAGATCTCAGGGGGCCGTGGAAGGCACATGATCCACAAGGAAGGCCTGTTTTGAGGAGTCCGTACTTATTTGGGGGGAGCGGCGTCGCCTGATTGGGGGCCACCTGTGGAGCCACGCCGGCGGAAGGTCGCTGGGAGTGTGGCCAGCGCAGGGGCCTTGCACCGGGGCAGATGTTGCCCGGCCTGTACTCTTGTTCCCCATTCTTTTCTCTCTTCCATGTTTTTCTTCTTTAAAAAAGTTTCATCTTAAACCCCTTTCCCGTTCGCTGTGTTTTGAAACCGGGTTGGGCTGTGTGTGACTCCAGTCATTGAAAGGTTTGCAGCAAGAACGGTGAAGGGGGACTGGGCGTTTTGCAGAGGGGAGTGGGGAAAGACGCTGGGCCTGCTAAGGTGGGCCAGCGCCAGGGAGCTGGACACGGGGTGAGAGCTGCCCTGCCTTCATAGCACTTACTCTGGGATGTGTAGAGGGGGCTGTCATTTCCTGCTTGGGCCCTCTCTGAAGGGAAGGGGACTGAGTTCCGTTTTCTCTAAGAAGAAATGGACCAAAAATTAGGAAGTAGAGGCACGTTAGCCACTACTAACAAAAACCAAACCAAACAAAAAAATTGTACTAAGTAGTGTTGATTTTGAGCATGGCTTTTTGTTCAGATTAAGAGAGATCTGATCAGCCAAATAAAGGGGACCAGTTTATCTCCCATCCTTAAAAAATATGGGGGGGGGGGGGAGGGGGGGAGACAGGCTCTACCTGAGCCCTGGAAGCGTGAGTCGAATGATGGTGGACAAAGGTTGGGATCAGAGGCCTCCATGGTCTCTTGGTCTGTGAGTTTGATGGACAAAGGTAATGGGGAGGAGAGGCTCTGGTTGGTATGAGCCTGGTGGCCAAAAACTGGAGAAGAGAAACCTCCATTTCATTTTAAGCTCCTCAGTAGCTCTCGCCTGTGGCCCTTGTGCCAGGTTGCAGGCGACATTGATAGGGCCTGTTCCAAAGAAGAGAACAAAGACTTGGAGGATTGCTTCTCTGTGTGCCCCTCACAAAACCATGCCCAGGGGATTGTCAGGCCTTCTTCCCTCCCTGGGGAACTCCCTGTGGCTGCAGGTTGATTTGAGCAGATCCCCTGGGAGTGAATTGGCCCTTGCAGGGTGGTCATATTACAACAGAGAGACTATTTAGGACTGCCTACTTGGGCCTCTTGTCTAACTCCTCCCCATTCTCTTCCTATCTTTCTGGGATACCTGCTTAGGTGTTTGATGTTCTCTTGTCTTCTTGGTTGGAAAATGCATAACCACAGTTTAACATTGGGGGAGAGCGGAAGCAGCTAAAATGCTGCCACCCTTTGGGCATGCTATGGGTCTCTCATTTTGACCATTGATGTCTCACTTGTATCATGAAGAGGCTGAACCGTCTCTCCTAAACTTCCTCTAAAGGGTCTTCATCATAGTCTGTCAACATATTACTTTAAGAAATCATTGACACCAGGCTGGCGTGGCTCAGTGGTTGAGCGTTGACCTAGGAACCAGGAGGTCACAGTTCCATTCCTGGTCAGGGCACCTGCCCGGGTTGCGGGCTTGGTCCCCAGTGTGGGACGTGCAGAAGGCAGCCAATCAGTGATTCTCAACATTGATGTTTCTGTCTCTCTCTTCTTCTCCCTTCCTCTCTGAAATCAATAAAAATATATATTTTTTTAAAAATCATTGAAAAGGCTCTTTGGAGAACAGCTTCCTTTCTTTGTGTTGGGCCTCTCCTGGGTCGCCACTACCAGAAAAGGAGAAGGTGAGAAAAAATAGGAAATGAGTTTCTAGGTGAATGTTAGTACTTGACATGTCATTTCAGTGAATCCTCATAATCCTGTGCCCATGATGGACTAGTGCTTTGTGGTTTCCTCTTTAGACTAGAGATGCAGTCACAGTTGTTGGCTCAACTGCTTTGTTGTTGTCGTTGCTGTTAGCTATATTTTTTGAGCCTACTATTCTCAATAAAGTGCTAGGAATTACATACTTATACCGTGTGTGTTATTGGATGTTTTTGAGAATCCAGTAAAGTAACGTGTTTGACAAATGAGGAAACTGGCCAAAAGTTTGAGGTACTGAAGTCACACAGCTGTTGGCAGCACGGCGGGGGGCGGGGGGGGGGGCAGCGACAATCCAAGCTTGACTGACTCGTATCCCCAGAAGACTGCAGAGTTATTGCTTATTAACGTATCTAGGGAAATCAGAACCACAGTGAGATGCCACTCACTTCACACTGAATAGGGTGGTGACATAAAAAAGACATAATACCAAGCAGCAGGAATGTGGAGGATGGGAAGAAGTCAGAATCCTACACTGCCAGTAGCCACTGTGGCAAACCGTCTTGGCAATTAGGTCCTCCGACTTTGAGACAGAGAGTTGCCATATGATCCAATAATTTCACTCCTAGGTATAATCTACTTAGGAGAAATAAAAGCATGTCCACACAAAAATTATACAGAAAGGTTCGTTGCAGCATCCTATATAATAAAAGGCTAATATGCAAATTGTCCCCTCGGGAGTTTGACTAACTGGGAGTTCGACTGTTCACTATGATACGCGCTGACCACCGGGGGCGGCGCAGAATGAAGGAAGGCCCCAGCCGGCAACCGGCAGCTGGGGGAAGGAAGGCCCCAATTGGCCCTGATTGCCGGCCAGGTCAAGGGACCCTACCTGTGCACGATTTTGTGCACCGGGCCTCTAGTTATTCATAATAGCCAAAAGGTGAAACAACCCAAATGTTTATAAACTGATGAATGGTTAAATTAAATGTGGTATGTTCATACAGTGGAATGTTATTCAGCAGAAAATGGAGTGAAGTACTGACACATGCTACAACATGAGTGAACCCTCAGGTAATGCTGTTCCCTCATCCTTCAAGTACCTCTTTCTCGGGGAAGCCCTTCTTTATCCCCCAGACAGGTCAGACACCCCCCGCTTCCTGGGGAACTCCCTGTGGCTGCAGGTTGATTTGAGGAACAAGAGGATGGCATGGAATTTCTCCCCAGCTAGCCCAGCCACTCTCGCTGGCAGAAGCCATTAACTGACAAGCCTCCTTGTCCCACAGACAGTGGCTCTAAGTCTGGAGGAAGAAGTATTACTGTGATTGCAGTGGAGGGAACAAGGGTAAGAGAGGCTGGGTGGGACTGGAGAAATATACAGGGTCCAGACCATCCAAGGCCTGCCAGATCATGGTGAGGGTATGCCAGATCACACTGGGGAAGCATGATGTCAATCTCAACCCACCACTGGGGCCTCACTGCTCCCCTACGGGTCATTTTTGAACTTCGTTGAAACTCTCTTTTGGTTGTCACAGGGATTAGGATCATATGAAATATAAATTTTATTCATTTCAGGATAGTTATGAGGGCATTGCAAATACCTACTATCCTACAGAGGTGTTTTGTCTGAAAGGAGATTGAAGGAGCCTAGCTGGGCTGGCTGGAACCTGAGTGGGTGTGTGAGTCTGGGGAGAAGGCCAGGGTAATCATGGGAAATCATGGGCTACATTCTGGCATTTACAGCCCAGTTCCCAGATGGAACTAGACTGTGGGTGATGTCAGCCTCTGGTCGAGCTGTGTGTAGACCTATGAGTGGAGAATGACCCAGCATAACACAGAACGGTCCACTCGTCTAAGTTCTGTGTGAGATCTGTGTAGCAGGGGAGCACCAGTTTGGTTCCCATGTGCAATCTGCACACCCCCGTCCTGTTTCCTGGAAGCTAGAGAGTTAAGGGCAGCAAAGAACCTCACTGCCAACATTTGTTGATTCCAACCCAGTTTTTGTTTTTTTTTTAATCCTCACCTGAGGATATTTTTCCATTGATTTTAGAGAGAGAAGGAGAGAGAGAGAGAGAGAGAGAAACATCGATGTGAGAGAAACACAGCGATTGGTTGCCTCCTGCACGAATCCCAACCAGGGTCTGGGCCGAGGAGGACCCTGCAACCAAGGTACCTGCCCTTGACCAGAATCAAGCCCGGGACCTTTCGGTCCACAGACCGATGCTCTATCCACTGAGCCCAATTGGCTAGGACAATCCAGCCCTGTCTTGATCTAAGAACAAGAAACTACTTTCCATTAATGGTCAAACAAATAATAATAAAAACACTAAAACAAAATAAGTTATAGGCTTTATTCCTAATAACAAAAGTAATACCTGTGCATTGTAGAAACTTTGAGACCCACAAAGAAAATACTTTCCCACTCACTCCACTTAGATTAATATTTTAAAGTAAAATTTCATTCTGTTTCATGGTAGACATATAATTTGAATGTTTTGGGTTTTTTATTACAAAATTAGGATACTATATATTTTGTAAAATGCTTTTTTAACTTAATATATAATGAACTAGAGGCCTGGTGCACATATTCGTGCACCAGTGGGGGGTCCCTCAGCCTGGCCTGCACCCTCTTGCAATCCGGGACCCCTCAGGGGATGT